CACTTTTCACTTAGGTGACCAGGAGCTTGACATGTGTCACAAGTTTAAAGATTTCGGGGTGAACGTAAATGATGCAGACCTGATCTAAAGAAGAGACTCTGGGAGAGATTGAAATCGTTGAAAGTTCTTATCGGAAGAGAACATGGCTTCAATGTTAAGCTCGCTAGACTGTTTTACTTGGCTTTTACAGGTCAGTTGTAGACTACCACGCACTGCACCTTTTGCAGCGTAAGGAATCAGAAATAAATAGCTTGGAGGTAGTGCAAAATGAAGCCATGAGGATTATCCTCGTCGCCCCAGAACAGCAAGGATAGTGGACATGAGATCAGAACTAAACTTACCATTAATTTCTGATAGAATAATATTTATTTCCTCCGTCTTAATGTCTCGGGGCTCTGGGTTAGTTTTCTGTGACTCTCAAAGTGCTCTTTGGATACTGAATTCTTTCAAACAGGTGGCGATGAGGAAATTGTGAGTTGCATTAAGCGTAACGTAACTTATGCAATTTCAACATTCAACTTGTATGGGTACTATCTCATGTTGCCATAAGCAAGCACGACCACGTAGACAAATTGGCAAAGGAAGCCAGCAGCAAAGATACTGTGAACACTGATCTTGATATGCCTCTTGCTAGGGTTGCGCATATATTAAAAAGTTCTCATAAGGAAGAACTAGTAGATCTGACGAACACTCAAAGGCCTGAAAGCTGTACTATAAGGCACTAATCTCAGTACAGAGATAGCAAGCCTTCCTATGGGTGGCACCGAAGTCAAACCAGACAATGTGACGTGCTTATCGCCAGAATACGTTTAGAATGTACTGGCAACTGCACGATGCAAGAAGTACGGAGGAATCTAGATGTGGACTGTGCAACGAAGAAAACAAGCGAACGCTCGAGCACCATATCTCAGAATATGTGATACAGCCTTTCAGACCACCTAACATGAGGTATAAAGAACTATGTGAATATATCATTTCATCTGATACATTGGAAAATGTAACCGTACTATATCCTAAATTTACTATGTAAAGCTGCTGTAAACAAAGAACAGTGTTATGTAAACACAGTGACAAAGGCATATAAACGTAATATTTTTTTTGTATGATGTATGATTTACATTTCTATTTTACCATGTACAATTACAGTAATCACATAATACTGTACTATGTCAAATATACGTAAAACTGTAATCACGATTTCCCATACCTGAGCAGACAGCCTGGTAAAAAAAAAAAAAAAAAAAAAAAAATCGCACAGAATATGTCAAGAGGCACAAACGCCTTAATCATTCATTCCATTGGACTACAAGAATTCCTCGTACTAGATTCCACACGGAACAACATACCGATACACGCGACTAAATGGACAAATGAACTCAACCAACATGGCTCGCTGAGGTGCAACATAACAAATCAAAACCGATCAAAAGTGTTTGCGTATTATATGGACCTACTGGTGATAACCCTCTCTGACTCTCTTCATTAACACAAAAGGATAAGGAGTATGCATGTGTGAAGAAAGACGAGAAATCACGATACTTTGATATATCTGAACTAAATCTTTTGAGTTTTGGGCTTTTTTCTGTTTAACACTTTCTGCTGCTGAAGATAATGATGACAATGATGATGAATGGCGAATGATAATGGTAATAATAAAGATATCAATAATAATAACAATAAATGTAAATATAACAATAATAAAATAATAATATTAATAATAAGTAATGATTATGCTAATGTAAAAAATAATACTAACAGCCATCCTTATTAATATAATAACAATAACAAAATATATCAGTTATAATAGCAATAACAATAGCATAATACTACCAAAGAGAACCAAAGAATACCTTTTTAATTAATAATCATAAGAACTCTATCACAAATAACCGCAAATAATAGTAACATTATAATTAGCAACATTAAAACGAGTTACAATCATAATAAAATCAACAGTAATAAATAATACACAGCCACCTACTAAAAGACCGAAGATAAAGAACATTATCAAGTTAATAACACGTGATGAGGCGCCTTGAAGCAGTAAGACCAATAAATCCTGGATATGGGGTTTCCAGATTCCAGGCGCTGTGTCCTATTGTTTCGACGTGGGTAAGTAATGATCCAAATAAAATGGAATAATTGGTGGTCTAAAATATCAGAAAAATCGGATGTGCAGTACAAATTTATCTGTGATTCACGAAACAAATGTCAAAAAATCAACAAAAAAACATCTAATGATAATATATCCTAAGGTTAGCTCTACGCACGGACTCCCTCTCGATGAGCTGATGAATGAAAAACGAATGCCATACACTCTACGGTTTCACCCTGCCACCTTTAAAAGTCTCTCTGTAAGTGTGTAACCGATTAAACATGCTTATACAAATATGCACGCATGCACACACATAAACTCGTACAGACACAAATATATGTATGTATATATATATATATATATATATATATATATATATATATATATATATATATATATATATAT